CGCTTGGAAGCATGGAGGAAAGGATTCCTCCGTGTTGACCCCCTTTTTATAGACTGGACACTGGTTCACATCCATCTGGTGGGGTCTCCTCGGCCTCCATGATCGAGAAGACAGGTGACCCATCACCGTTATAGGACATTTTGAGAGATGCTCATAGGGCCCTGGAACTAGTTGACCTAGGAGGGCAAGGAGCAAAAACTATCCTTTATGTCCCTCTGACCAAATTATTATAGACCTCAAAGTATGTCTGTTAAACATCCAAGAAGGTTAGTTCCACCAGTCTGGTATTTTTAATTACTGATATTTGACAAAGGGGCCAAGAACATTAACTGGAGGAAAGATAGCATGTTCAGCAAATGGTGCTGGCAAAACTGGATCTCCACTTGTAGAAGAATGAAACTAAAGCCCTATCTTTCACCCTGCACAAAAGTCAATTCCAAATGGCTCAAAGACCTCAATGTAAAGCCTGAAACTCTGAAACTGTTAGAAGAAAACATTGGGAAAAACCTACAAGATATAGGTGTAGGAAAGGACTTTCTAAACCGGACACCAATTGCTCAGGCAACAAGGGCAAGAATTAACAAATAGAACCTCATTAAACTAAAAAGCTGCTGTACATCAAAGGAGCCATTAACTAATTTTTAAGTTATATAATGGCCACAGGTCTCACATCCGTGGGTTCAAGGAACCACGAGTAGGAAATAACTGAGGAAAAGTTGTATCTGTGTTGAATTTGTGCAGATTTTTCCCCTTGCTGCTATTCCCTAAACAACGTAGTGTATCAACTATTTCCACAGCAGCAACATTGTATTATGTGTCACGGGTCATCCAGAAACCATGCAAAACATCCAGGAGGATGTGATAGGCTATATACAAACTCTCTACTGTTTTATAAAAGAGACTTGTACATCACAGAGTTTTAAACCATGGAAGCTCTGGGAACCAATCTCCCACCAATAACGAGGGATGACTGTATAGACAGGTACATATATATAACCATAGAAAACAATTAGTACATTCATATGTTCATAAATGGAAGCAAATGGGTTTCCCGCACCTATTTTCTTTTCACTCAGCATTGAGCTTTTAATATTTATTTGCGTTGACTCAAGCAGCCTCAGATCTAGGGGTTTTTTGCCTGCTTTGCAGTTGTGCCTATGTTCCCAAGGATTGCCTTGTGCTCGTCCTTCTCACCCATGCTGCCTGCAGTGTTAAACTTTATATCACACTCATTGCTGCTATGAATGTCCTGGGCACCTCTCTTGCCCAGCATACCTAATCAGTTCCGTCTTCAAGGCTACGAAAGCCACTACCCTGAGAAAGATAATTGTTCCACTGGAGCTGATACCTAAAGTGAAATTGTTGAGTGATGGGCTATGAGCATTTTGAATCCCTTCTCTTCTGTGAAGGGATTTAACTGGCCACACACACTCCCAAAATAAACCCCTTAGACTTTGGACACTTTAACTGTGCTCTCAAGAAGAATTAGTAAAGGGGTATCTGGAAAACCAGATTAAAAATCTTCCACAAGGATAATGCCATTTGGCCTCTGTAAACTGCTGGTGTTGGGATGAGCTTTCACTCCTATGCATTTACATTTTAATTCCAAGTACACTGTAATTTGTATCAAGTGTGGGAAGAGGTGAAATATCATTTACACAAATTAGAAAATCAGAGTTTTGTCAAATCATGGTAATAAGTCTTTTGAAAATTAATTTGTTTTCAATTGACCCACAAAGCCTATATATTTGTGGGGTATTGTATAGCATTTTGATACATATATACAATGTGTAATGATCAGTTTGGCATACTTATTGGTTCAGGCATTAGTCATATCTTTGTATTGTAATGTTGAAAATTCTCTCTATTAAGTATGCAAATATTAAATTAACTGTTGTCAATCATAGTCACCCTACTAAAAATGAAGGTGAAGCACTGGTAGGAAAAAGAAAACTTATGAACTCTGGAGAAATGGTTCAGTGATTAAGAGTGCATGCTGCTCTTCCAAAGGACTGAGTTCAGTTCCCAGCATCCACATCAGGTAGCTCACAACTGCCTGTAACTCCAGCTCCCAGGTATCTAACGCCCTTTTCTGGCCTCCAGAGGCATGAGTGTATAGATAAATAATGTAACAAATAATAAATTAATAAAATAAGTGAAATAATAAAAAACAAATCTTTTTTTAAAAGTATCATACTAATCAACATTGTGGTTATGACTAAATCTAAATCTCCCAACATAACTTCAAAAAAAGAGAGAAAAATCTAGAGGATAAATAGTTACACAAAACTTATGTGCCCTATTATTAGAAGAGAGAAAATGTCTAAAGTTAAATGACGCGATGAGACAAAGAAACAAATGCACTATGGGTAACAGGATTAAAGGTATTATGGTCAGAAAAGAGAAAAATACAGACATGGAGAGGGATCTCATAGCCCTTAGTGTGAATGAGAATTATTGGAAACACCAGTGCAAATGAATGGTTACATATTTTGTATATAAATAAAATAGCTAGGCAAATACACAGACATGTCTATTTGTTAGTAGATGAGTGGATGTAGCTGTATATACAGAAACATACACATACTGGAAGCAATGATATATTTGGACTCAGGCCCTAATACCTAAATGCCATGACTACTTATAGAACCAAGCACTGCTTGGTAAACGAGTTGATTGCAAGACTCATGTGTGGAATCGACAAGATGAGGCCAGAGCACCTTATGCTAGAAGGTACTCAAAAATATGTGGTGGCATGTATAAAAGGCACTGGATTGAGTGTGCTGGTCTCTCACTGGTCAAACTGGGTCAATTAAAACATCAAAGTAAACAGCAGCATTAATAGATAATAACCTGTTGTATAATATGTCAGTCAATCAGCCAATTGGTTGAAAGAGAAAAGTCTTGCAGTATAAAGGCAACTAAACAAACAATAGTAACAATGAGGAAGTGAAATACAACTGACAAAAATAAGTGAAAAATTTTAATTAAAAAAGATGTTACTCATCAGTCATAATTTCATTGGGCAGAATTCATCAACTGACACTAAGAACAAGTGGGCGAATGAGGAGTATCATGATGTTAGACACTCAGAATCTCTCCACACGATACCATGGATTTCAAAAGGAAAAATAATGACTTTATAGATTCTCCACTAATCAAATAAACATTACTTTTAATGGTACAGGTCCAAATTGTATGCCTCTTGACACAAAGCACTAAGAAAAACACAACCAATTCTGCAATAGTCCTACAGAATATGTTTCACTTAAATTCAGTCCTGAGGAACTATCTGAAATCCCAAACTGAGGAGCGTGTCCCTATGCTCTTCAGAATTGTCAGTAACGTCATACAAGACAGGGAGATGGGAGGCAAGGAAGAATTCCTGATTAGAGGTAGCCAAGTAACATAACAATTTAATGTAATCCATGATTGGGGATTTTTTTAAATGAATACAGACAGATTGATAATGCAAATGTGTCCACACTATAGAATTCACTATGCAAAGTCCTCAAAAAATTAAAAATAGGGCCTGGATAATGATGGCTCAATTGATAAAGTGCTTGCTGCACAAGCATGAAGATCTAAGTTCGGGTCCCCAGCCCCCACATAAAAAGCAAGGTACATTGGCACATGCTTGTAGTCCCAACATTGAGAGGCAGATTCAGGAGGATCCCTAGGGCTTGCTGACCAGCCAGTCTAGCTAATTGGTGAGCTCCAGGTTCAGTGAGAGATGTTTTCTCAATAAGTAAGGTGGGGAGTGATAAAGAAGTCAACTGACATTGACCTCTGGCTTTCACTACCATATGTTGAGTGTGTGTGTGTGTGTGTGTGTGTGTTCACGTACACACATATACACAATTAAAGATGGAGCTTTCATATTATTCAACTATACCACTTCTGGGTATATTTCTGAAGGAATCTAAGTATAATAAAGAGGTATATGTACACCTGTTTTTGCTGTATTACTTAGACTAATGAAGTTATAAAATTAGCTTAGAAAACCACACACATACACACACACACACACACACATAGTTGTGATTGTTCATCTTGACTGTAAACCTGGTGATATTTAGAATTAAGTAGGAAATAAACTTCTAGTTATATCTATGAGGGGTTTTCCACAGAGGTTGAACCAAAGAGGAAAGATCCACCTTAAATATAGATGGCACCATTCCATGTGTTGGTGTCCTGCACTGAATAATAAAGCAAAGCAAATGGAACCCCAGCATTCATCCCTCTCTACACATGCAATGTGACCAGTTCACTCACACTCCTGCTGCCACAGCTACAGCTGTTCTGGTCACATGTTTCCCCGCCATGATGGACTGTACCCTCAAACTATAAGTCACAATAAACCCTTCTTTCTTTAAGCTTGCCCTTGTCGGGCATTGTGTCATAGCAACAAGAAAAGTAACTGGTGCATATCTATAATGAAATTTTATTGTCAGAAAAAAAGAATGAAATAGGGTTTGGGGGTTTATTTTGCAGCACAATGGATGGAACTGGAGATCATCATGTACAGTAAAAGAAGCCAAGCTTAAAAACAAATATGGTATTTTTTCTTTCATGTGAAATCTAGTGGCAGGGAAGAGCATGAAAGTAGGGAGAAGCGATGATAAGGAAAGTTAGGGGAGATGAATATGACCAAAGAATGTGTGTGTGTGCGTGTGCGTGTGTGTGTGCGCAGGTGTGTGTAGACATGTCATAATGGGGGCCAGCAAGATGGCTCAGCAGGTACAGGTTGCTGCCAAGCCTGACAACCTGAGATCCATCCCTAGAACCCACAAAATAGAAAGAAGTAACTGATTTCCACAGGCTGTCCTCTGACCTCCATGTGCTCATGTGGCACACAGTGGTTTGCACACAAGAGTGTGTGAGTGCACACCACATAAATAAATAAATAAATAAATAAATAAATAAATAAATACAGTGTAGAGAAAAGAAAATGTCATGATGAAACCCCTTGCTTTGTACAGCTTTTTTTGTTTGTTTTTCCATGTCTCCCCATTCACAATACAGACCAGGCACAGTGACCTGGGCTGGGGTGTATACAGGCCAGGTTTGCTCCACCTCCTCTTCCTGTACAGTCAGTGTAAGAGCACAGCCTGTAGTAAGCACCAAGAGGACTGTTTGTTTTTTGGGACAGTCTCACTGTGAAACCTTGGCTGGCTTAGAACTTGATGTTTCAATCAGGCTGGCTTCTGAATTTACAGTGTTCCTCCTGCCTCTACCTTCCAAGTGCTGACATTATAGGTGTTTACCACCATGCCAGGTTTTATGTGTATTAAACTGGAGGCTTCATGAATGCTAGGCAAATACTCTACCAACTGAGGTACATTCTCAGACACCAAAATTTTTCCAAAAATAATGTCATCAAGTAAAGCCTGATTAAAGGCTAAACATTAAATAATCATATTATATCCAGGTCAGCTACATAATTTTTAGGGCCCAGTGTGGAATAAAAATGTCATCCCTTTCTTCAAAAAGAATTTGAAAGTGTCAACAATAGAGTACTAGGTCAGATGTGGGGGTCCTTCTGAGTGCAGGGGTATGTGTGATTCTGCAGGTCACATGACCATGATTGTACAGTCTTAATTTCTGCTATGCAAGAGAACTTCATTCTGTAGAAATAAATATTGTAGAACTTAGGGATACAGGGACGACATATCAGCAACCAATTTTCCAATGCTTTAGAAAAAGGTGTGTGTGTTTAGGGAGAATGGGGGTTAGCAGGCAAATGAGATGCTGCATTAACTGCTGGAATTCCAGGGCACGCATCCAGGAATTTTTCTACTACTCTCTCACGTTGCTATATGTCTGAAATTTATCAAACATTTTAAAAAGATACATGCCTGAGAAACTATTTATTTTGCTGAATGAAATCATGGCATATTGGTTAGGACTTTTTTTTTTCTTTTTTTGGTTTGTTTGAGGCAGGGTCTTTCTATAGTCTCAGCTGGCCTGGAACTCACTGTGTAGACCAGGCTGGCCTCAATCTTAGAGAGACCCACCTGCCTCTGCCTTCCTAGTGCTGGGATTAAAGGTGTTCACCACAGTGTTCAGCTTGGTTATGACTTCTTGAATGTCAATAACTATTAGGCATCTTTAAACATATGTAAAGCAAATGTGAAAGTTGGTGATTATGCGAAAGTTGGTGGTGGCTTACAAGAGTGTATCATCTCTGCTTCTGTATTAGAAATTTTTCATAATCTTGAGTTTTTAAGCCATTCTTAAGTCCATCTGACTATCATTTTGTGGATTCTTTTTCCCCAGTCCTTGGAACGATGTGCAAATTTTATGTTGTATATACACCATTTAAATCGTGCAAGTTCTGCTTTTTCACATTGCCAGAGTCTCTATAATTGTCTCTTTCATGCCTGCATGTTGGTTCACTAGCCAGACAATACACTTTCATTGTTGAAATTGTAGTTTGTTTATGTAGTACACTTAAATATATAGTGCTTTTCCCTCTACAATCTCCTCTTAGGAAATATTTCCAGGTGTAGGATTTCTGGATCACAGACATGATCCTGTTTATGAATCTTGAAACATTTTGCCAAATTGCCTTCCAGAAAGTTGTACCAATTCGTATCATATGAGACTAACTGTTGGGAGTTAACATTAATTTTTCAGCTGGTGCTGGGGTTATGCTGTGTGCATCTTTCTGATTCCTCTTTTGTGAATTGTTCTGTCTCTACGCCTCTGTTGGGGGGCTAATGCACTTCCAAATCTGCCTGAGCACTTTGAGTAATAAAGATATTACATCTCACATCATGTTTGCCTCCAATATTTTTCCAGAAAAATAACTTCAAATGGAAGGAGAATGCATGGCAGATATAGTGAGCCATTTTGCACGCCAGCTCTCTGTCTACGAAGAGCCCCATGGCCTGGCGAGGCAATCATTTGTTTGGAAACAAAGCAATTACATTTATCTAGAACATAAAATACTACAAAACGTTATCTTGAGATGATTTTCCAGAAATAATAAAACACACTGGAGGCATTTGCTGTGTCTTCATAATCAAAATAATCAACTTTTAGGCCAAGCAGGGTAGCCTCTGCCTTTAACCCAGTACTTAGGAGGCAGAGGCAGGTGGATCTCTGTGCATTCAAGGTCAGCCTGGTCTACATAATGAGACCCTGTGTCGCTGGGGCTACAGGGAGACTCTTTCTCAAAAAGAAAAAAAGAGGAAGGAGAAGAAGAAGAAGGAGAAGGAGAAGGAGAAGGAGAAGGAGAAGGAGAAGGAGAAGGAGAAGGAGAAGGAGAAGGAGAAGAAGAAATTTTTAAATTTATTTTTATGTATATGAATGTTTTGCCTGCATGTATGTAAGTGCATCACTCATGCAATGCTCATAGAGACCAGAAGAGGGCATCAGATTACCCTAAAACTGGAGTTATCAACAGTTAGCTGCTGTGTGGGTGCTGGGAATGAACCTTGTTAGAGCTATATGTGCTCTAAACTTCTTAGGCATCTCTCCAGTCCCAATAATAATCAGCTTTTCAAAAATAACTGATTTGGTTTTCCTACTGCTTTGTTTCAATCAAATCGAAAACCTCGTATGGAGGTGAAGTCATTATGATAGCCAAGTAAGGTTAATCCATAGGTATGAAAAGTACCTGCCTTCTGTTTCTATGGGGACCAAAACCAATTGGAAGGCTAGGTTGATCGCTAAGTTACAGTCTATCATTGAGGGAAGCCGAGGCAGGAACTTAAGGCAGAAATCTGGAGGCAGGAACTGAAGCAGAGACCACAGAGAAATGCTACTAATTTGCTTGCTTTCGCTGGCTTGCTCAGGAAGTTTTCTTATAAGACACAGGCCCACCTTTCTATGGATAACACTGCCCACAGTGAGCTGGGCCCTCTTACATCAATCAGTAATTAAGAAAATGCCCCCACAGACATGCCCACAGGCCAGTTGGACTAAGGCAATCCGCACCTGAGACTCCCTCAGATAACTCTAGACTGCATCAAGTTGAAAATCGATGTTAGCCATTACTAGACTTCTCCAGGGTGGATACCAAAACCACCCAAGATGAAACAGGTGGAAAAGTGCAGGCATGGGGTCTGACAGCCACACTGCTCCCCAATAAGCAGCAGATTCTGGTCAATGTGATGTATGTTTGGGCCACAGACCATGCATGGGCTTCCCCACCCTACACACATAGGTCTCCTCTCCAGGCCTTCCTTGTAGGTAGCGTCTCTTCTTCCTCGGTTCTTAACTCTGCAATATTTACTAGGCAACTGTGCACCAGTGTGGGTCAAAGTTCGCACTGGTGGCAGAAGCAAAGCTTTCATTTGAAGCTGCCTACAATGTCTGATGAGCAGATGGAGATCTTCTTAAGACCAGCAAATCTAAGACCCTCTGCTACATCCCAAGCAATACCAGGGTCCTCTGGAAACCATCAGCCTCCTGTCACTTGGATTTCAAGGCTAGTTCTGTTTTGTCAACTGGATGTTATGCTAGAGGTTTCCTAAGGACCAACGATGGGAGGACTGGGCACTGCTTTTTGCTCTCTCGCCTCTCCGGGGCAGGGTCTTTCTGCCATAGGGAGCACCCTGAATTTCCTCCTATTCATCACAAAGAATCTATTCACAGAAGTGTTCCGTGAAGTGTATGAAAGCAGCTCACATCATACATGGTATAGCCCAGCAAGTGAAGCCTCTGCCCTTTGGGAGGTCTCTTTTCTCCCACCCACTCCACCTTCGGTCCTCCTGGATCGGAAAATACAGTCACCTGTTTCACTGAATACAGCCACAAGCACACATACACGTCTTAGCTAGGCTGCTGTTGAGTTACATTGCAGGCACAAGTTGGGAAACTACATGGCTTATACCCTAAAAGATTTTTTACCTGGCCCTTTGAGATAACGCATTAACCTCAGTTCTAAATCTCCTGAAGCCTAAGTTCTGCTTATAAATTTTCTCCCAGATCGCTCATGTTGTCACCTTTCTTTTCACTGTTTCCTGATTTCTGCCTTTAGACTTACACTCGGATCAGTCCTGTATTCAAGCTTGTGGAGGTCCTTACAGTGAACAGAATAACTGTGCACTCAGCCAACCAAAATCCTGTCAGAAAACCTGTGCTTCTTAGAAAGCGACAGGGAGGGGCACATAGGAAAAAAAGCACTTTAATTGGCTGGTACACACCTTACTGTACATTATCTGTCAAGAGAAGGGTTTAGCCCTACTAGGAGGACCTGTATATAAGGCCTGATGCAGAGGAATCTGAGCCCTGGACTCCTCTCAGCCTCCTAGATATTGGCAGATTGCCTCTGGTTGTCCAAAGTACGGAAGGAGATCTGGGGAGGCCAGGTTGGAGTGCTGGACAGGCAAAAGGCCAGAACTGGCAGAGAAAGGGCCAGAGGTGGTGACTCAACTGTGTGACTCCTGCACTTTCTGAGGTCTCCAGCTCTACCCAGCTAGGTAAGTGGAGGTTCTAGAAGGGTAGTCAGGGGAGGGGGAGTTGTCTCTGATACTTTTGACTTTTCCAGCAAAGGCAAACAGAGTTTGGCCATAGCCAAATATTCTTAGCCAGGTTTTATCAACAACAAACATGAAAAGATGCTAGGCACCATTGGCCATCATGGAAATACATATCAGAACAACGTCACTACCTAAGCTCATGAGGATGAGCTGCAGTGTCAGATAGTGACAAGTGTGGACGGGATGTGGAGAACACAGAATCCTGTTACAGTACTCATGGGAATGTAAAATGGTACAGCCATTTTGGAGAACAGTCTGGAATTTCCCCAAATAATTAAATCTGCAGTGACACTGCGGCCCAGGAACTCCCCTCCAGATTATACACCGTGAGAAATAAAAATGTATGTTCACACAAAAACTTGCATACAAATGTTCACCAAAACATTATTCACAATAAACCCAAAGTGGAAACAACTAAAATACCCAACGACAAATGAATGAACAAACAATCTGGTATATCCATACAATGGAATATTATTCAGCAATGAGTTGTTGAAACCTTGTTGCTACAAAGGGCACTGTGGCCAGTCTTCTAAACTGGCTCTTCAGTGAACTTGCTTCTCACTAAACTTCCTGTTTTGGAGAGACCCATACGTTAGAAACTATACTTCCCAGGCTCCTTTGTAGATAAAAAATTTCACA